AGGGGTGGGTGTGAGGGCACTGAGGGCAGTGAGGTGTAATGGGGGTTGGGGGTCGTGGTGGGAATGTGTAGGTTGGGGGGAGGGGGCCGGGTGGTGTGTTCGGGGTCAGATAGGGGTTTTTCGGTCCTTTAGGGGTGTTTGGGGGGGGCCGTCTATTGGGGGTGATGGGTATTGGGGGTGTAGGGGTAGTGCCCATTGTTCAGGGGTGGGTGTGAGGGCACCGAGGGCAGTGAGGTGTAGTGGGGGTTGGGGGTCGTGTTGGGAATGTGTAGGTTGGGGGGAGGGGGCCGGGGGGTGTGTTCGGGGTCAGATAGGGGTTTTTTGGTCCTTTACGGGTGTTTGGGGGCGGTGTTAATGGGGGGTGAATTTTTTTGTTTTTCTTCTGCTTTAAGTGTTCGGGCACGTGTTCGAGGCCCAACGCGCGAATTCTGTTTTTCGGAATTCGACGCGACGCCCCCGTTTTCGCGTTTAACGGGATTCAACGGAGGCCCTGCGGCCTGTTAAACGGGTGTCCGGGCGTTTAACTCCGCCTGTTCTCCGTTAAAAGGATACACAGACTACAGTAAAACACACATGTGAGTCATGGAAACAACTAGGAAAGAACCGGTGCATCACCAAGTGCAGAAGAACTGAACTTGACAAGTGCAACTACAGCAAACACACATGTGAGCTTTAGAGACAACTAGGAAAGAACCGGTACATCACGAAGTGTAGAAGAACTGAACTTCACATGTGCAACTGCAATAAAACACACATGTGAGTCATGAAGACAATAGGAAAGAACCGTTGCATCGCCAAGTGTCGAAGAACTAAACTTGACAAATGCAACTACAGCAAACACATATGTGAGCTATGAAAACAATTTAGGAAAGAACCGGTACATCACCAAATGTAGAAGAACTAAACTTGACAAGTGCAACTATAGTAAAACACACATGCAGGTCATGGAGACAACTATTAAAGAACCGGTGCATCACCAAGTGTAGAAGAATTGAACTTGACAAGTGCAACTACATCCAACACACATGTGAGCTATGGAGAGAACTAGGAAAGAACAGGTACATCACCAAGTGTAGAAAAACTGAACTTGACAAGTGCAACTACAGTAAAATATACATGTGAGTCAGGGAGACAATAGGAAAGAACTGGTCCATCGCCAAGTGTAGCAAAACTGAACTTGACAAGTGCAACTACAACAAACACGGATGTGAGCTATGGAGACAACTAGAAAAAAAACGATACATCACCAAGTAAAAAATTGAACAACACAAGAAGAAGGAGTGAGTGAAACTGTCTCACAAGCATGCACATACAAAGTGAGAAGTGGCGATTTGCTATGGAGTGAAAAAATGGACAATGCATGAGCTCAAAATGACTAGAACACTAGACTGAGCAAGAGTACAAATAGCGGTTTACACCCAAGTGAAGAATTGAACAAGACAAGAAAAAGAAGTGAGTGAAACTTACTCCCAAGCATGCACACACAAAGTGGGAAGTGACGATTTACAATGGAGTGAGGAATTAGATATGGCATGAGCTCAAGATGATTAGAACACTAGAATGAGCAAGAGTACAAGAAACGATTCATACCTAAGTGAAGAATTAAACAAGACAAGAAGAAGGAGTTAGTGAAACTCACTCCCAAGCATGCACACACAAAGTAGGAAGTGGTGATTTACTACGGAGTGAGGAAAGAGACAATGCATGAGCTCAAGATGACTAGAACACTTGAACGAGCAAGAATACAAAACTCGATTTACACCCACATGAAGAATTGACAAAAAGAAGAAGGAGTGAGTGAAACTCACTCCCAAACATGCACACACAAAGTGGAAAATGATGATTTACTATGGAGTGAAGAAATAGACAATGTATGAGCTCAAGATGGCTATAACACTAGAAAGTGCAGGTATACAAGTTGCGATTTACACCCAAGTGAAGAATTTGATAAAACAAGGAGTGAGTGAAACTCACTCCCAAGCATGCATATACAAAGTGGGAAATGACAATTTAGTATGGAGTAAAGAAATAAACAATGCATGAGTTCAAGATGGCCAGAATGAGCAAGTACATAAGATGTGATTTACACCCAAGTGAAGAATTGGATAAAACAAGAAGAAGGACAACAAAAAAATTCCCATGAGAAATGAAAGTTGAAAAAACATTCCATAAAAAAAGAATCCTTCATATTTATAAATTATCATTCTAATGTTTGTCCAATTCTAAAATTTCCAATTTAATTTGATAAGTTCTCGTCTAAATATGAGTTTTTCCTTCTAACTACATCTATTTGTTGAAGATGGAATGAAAGTCTGGACGAGTTTATGAAATGTTTTGATTGGACTTTCATTCTACTACAACAAATATCGTCTAATTTAGATTGGATTAACCTACTTATGACTGAAAATCCTTACTTAGAATGGCAGTCCAATTAAAATATTTCATGAACTCATTCAAACTTTCATTCCATCTCTAGCATGCAGTTCAAATAAGAAGGGATACCCCATTCTTGGAAGGAAAGTTTTCAAGTAAGACGGAAAATTTTAAAATTGGAATGACATTTTTTAAGATCGAATGAAAATTTGAAATTTAGAATGTAATTTTACTCTAGAATGATTATTTAATTCTAGGAAATTTTTCTATT